CATCTTCATCCAAACAAACGTATTTAGGCCCTGACGCGATAAATGAACAGAAATGTCAAAAAGAAATACCGAATGAATTATTTCAATTCATTACATGGATTTTATATGAGAAAGAGCTAAGAAATGTTTCAGATGAGAATTCATTCAATCTTAAAGTTATGTCCATTTGTTCTAATATTTTAAATAGTTTTGACAAAAATAAAAATTATACTAGTTTCGGATTCAGTTTTTCCCTTTATATGTATCAGACTGTAAGAAGCAAAAAATTAATAAATCTTTTACATCAGTTTGGTTATGGGTGTTCCTATGATGAAATACGAACATTTTTAACATCCCTCGCTGTTGAGCACTTAAATGAGGAAAATTTTATACCACCAGGAATTGAGCCAGTTGAAAACCAAAACTTTATTCACGCTAGCATTGACAATTTTGATTTAAATGAGGAGACTATTGATGGAAAATGTACTACACATGCATTAGCAATGGTTCTTTTTCAAAAAAAATCTGAAGTTCCGAGAGGTTCATCCGTTGAAAGAACAAAAAAACGTTCTTTAGGAGAAACAGATCTCAGCAATAAAATCCTCATTTACAGAAAACCATCAACCCGACCAGAGCCACCTCGATCAGATAAAAATTCAGTTTGCGCAATTAATGACAATTTTGTCAAAAAATCGTTTTCCATCGACAATTTATGGCAGCTTTTACAGTGTGTTAAAAAAAGGGAAACGGTAACAACGTGGAATGAATTTAATAATATATTATCTGAAAATAATTTATATGTATCGAATACATATTATCTACCATTTTTAAATGCCCCTCCCACTGATTTTGATACAATCTTCACAGGTCTTGTTAAATTGGTAAAGATAGCAGAAACGCTAAATCAAAATCATATTGTAGTGACAGCAGACCTTTCAATTTATAGTAAAGCACAAGAAATTCTTTGGAATAAACCTGCACAATTACATGATAAAGTTACTATGCAACTAGGCGGTATGCATTTGACAATGGCGTTTATCGCAAGTATTGGCTGTATTTTTGCTGATGGGGGCCTTTCTAGCATTTTAGTAGAATCTGAAGTTTATGCTGAAATGTCTTGTACCCAACTTCTTCAAGGCAAACAATATGATCGAGGAATAAGAGCTCTCATTTTAGTAGCAGACACTTTAAGTCGATTGTTTTACAAATCAATGATGGAGTGGCTAAAAGAAACTAATTACGAATCAGTATTTAGCGAACACTTTGTTAATCTTCTCAATGAATTAGAAAATGTCATTTTAACTGATGCTTCTACTTTTGATAGAAAAATAGTTAAGACTATAATGGAATCTTCAGAAGAATTGGAAACCTGTATTAATTCTTTTAAAAAATATGGATGTGAAAATAATCCTACTTTCAAATACTGGTGTTTGTTTTTAGACTCAGTTGATATTCTAATGGCTTTAATCAGATCAGAACGCAATGCAGATTTTAATTTGCACTTAGAAACCGTCAAACAAGCATTACCATTTTTTAAAGCAGGAGGACGTCTTAACTATGCTAAGTACGTACCTGTATACCTGCTAGATATGCAGAAATTAAAAAGAGATCATAGAAACATGTACGAATATTTAAATATAGGAAATTTTGTAGTAAAAAGAACAAATAATAAACCATTTAATTGTGTTGCTTCTGATATGGCTTTAGAACAAACTATAAATAGAGATTGCAAGAGTTCTGGAGGGGTAATTGGATTTTCAAGACAGGAAGGTACTTTAAATCGATGGCTAATTACAAGACATTTAGTCGGAGAATATGCCAATAAATTAGAACTATTGGTATATAATCAAACACAATTTAAATATGGTCATTCACAAAGAGTACGAGATGAAAACGATGTAATGAAAATGAAAAATTTGATTGAAAATTCATGGGTGAACCCGTTTGATATAACCGAAACATCAAATGATCTAGTGAATATTGCGACTGGAAAAATAGCATCAACGGATGTTAAGGATTCCCTTATGTCTTTTAAGTGGGAAGCCCACTTGAAAATGAAAACATTTATAAAGGACCGCTTAACCGAAAATGAAACAGTCAGTTTTTGGAAAACAGTACCACGATTTTCTTTAAAAACTTTCAATAATGATAAAATTAACTACAAGAACTCCAGTAAAGGGAAAATATAAATCCTGAATTTATGTTTAGAAGAATAATCAGTGCCGCTCAATTTCAAAATATGGATTTTATTGATATACTATCTCATGAATTAACTCCAGTCCCTCTTGCTTTATTCAATGATGATGGAACAATGAGAAAAACTCCCAAATCGGATCTAGCAAACAAACTGCATTCTTATTGCGAAGCATCATTACAGGTTCCTGAAAATTTCAGCTCTTATGTTTTAGACGGAATGGCAATTCTTCATTCTTTGAATGCGAAATCTTTCAAAACATTCGATAATTTAGCAGATGTGGTCCTAAATAGAATTTTACGCATTTTCCAGGAAAACCCTTCATGTATCAGTATTTCTTTAATATTTGACAGATATGATATTGAAAACTCCATAAAAAACATTGAAAGACAAAGACGAGGACAAACTACAATAGGAACATTTAGCATAGTCGGCAGTAGACAAGTCCCAAATTATAAAACATTTTTAAAGTCGTGTGCAAATAAGAAGTCACTTATACAATATATTTCAAAATGTTTAACTGAAGCTTCTAAACAGTTTCCTGCAGGAAAAGAGCTCTATATTGCAGGAGGTTTTCAAAATGGAGAAGAATGTTTTAAAGTAAGTCATTAAAATCACCTGTATCCAATTTATGAGTTTTTAATATTCTTACAGATAAGCAACACAGATGTTATAAAAGAGGAAACTTTGAAATGTAATCATGAAGAGGCAGACACTCGTATTATTTTCCATTTGACAAATTCTCTTAATAAAAACCGTACAGTGGTTATAAAGTCGGATGATACCGATGTATTGGTTTTATTACTTTATTATTATTGGAACAATGAAATTATGAAAACTTGTGAAATTTTTATGGAAACTGGCCACATCGTGAACAACGTCAATAAAAAAAAATACATTCCCGTACATCAAATAGCAGAAAATTTAGGAAAGCCAGTTTCAGACAGTTTACCAGCTTTTCACTGTCTCACTGGTTGTGACACGACCAGTTCTTTTTATAAAATAGGAAAGAAATCAGGTTTTCAAATTTTGTTAAAATCATGTAATAACATTGACCTTCCAGCTTTTGGAAAATGTGAAATTGATGATAGTGTTTCCATAGCTAGGAAATTTGTTAGTAAACTTTATAAACAAGAACGATGTGACAACCTTAACGAGATAAGGAGAACATTGACACAAACCACAAAAAAGTCTGCACAAGAAATTCCGCCTACAGAGGATGCATTTTATTTTCACGTTTTAAGGTAGGTACACTTACTAAAAAATATTAAAAGTATGTATTATTTATTACTTTTTACAGATGTTATTATCAAACACATATATGGCTAAATAGTCACGTCGGAATTGTAAAATTATTTAATTTGATGGATTATGGATGGAAAAAAGATGATAATTATATTGTTCCGAAATTAATGTCATCTCCGGCAGTTCCAAGCAATATTAGGAAAATTATTTCACTAAATTGTAGTGAGAAGAAATGTGACACTAAAAAATGTGTATGTTTAGTGGAGGGAGTATTTTGTACAGAAGAGTGCAAATGTTGTTCGAATTGCTCAAATAAGCAAATAATTGGAGACATTGTAGAAGATTATGATTTTGTTTAGTTTTCTTGTCTGTTACATAATAACATTAAAAATAATAAAGGTGATGATAATAATAATAAAATGATAATAATATTAGTATTAATAATAAAAATTAAATAATAATTCATTAATTTTTACAAATATTTTTATGTTAATATAGAAGTTATAATTAATAAAATCTAATTACTTTTAAACCTTTAAACACACAAATAATGTGGCTTGCAAATAAACAAAACTGATTAAAAAACAAGCAATAGAACCTGGCCCGCATAGAGAAGATGCCAACACTACATGTAATGATTATGGAAGAAGGTACCTTTCTTCTCTAAGCGATGTTTCGATCTATTTCCGGCCGCTCGAGATAGATTTAAGTCGAATTCACCTGTTTAAAGGGTTGTAGTTTACAAATGACTTTACGTATAGCCCTATATAATCGAGCAAAAATGATGACGAATAAATTCCGCAGTTTTTGGTGTAAAAAAAAGTGGCAGTTGATTATGCAAAAAAAAGAGTTTGATAGGTAAAAAGTATTGGAAGATTCGCCAAATTTTTTAAATTAAAAGTTATTGTTATTTTTTTTCCATAATTTATTAAAAAAAAAATGTTTTTAACTGCTATTGTTTAGAGAAAAAAGAGAGCTTTTATATTATTCTAAAACGGTAATTATATCTTTCTTAGAAATCAAATCGCAGCGCAACAAAGTAAAAAAATTGAAAAGTTCAATTTTTTTCATTTTTTGTATGTAAATTTTATCTCGACCAATGAAAAATGTCGTCATTCTTGATTTCATATGTAAAAATGTATACTGAATAATGATATAAAGGTCGCATTTGGTTACACCTTTGAATTTTTTTTTTAACGATTATTACACGCCGTCCGCCGGTCTATTTGGAAAATATATTAAACATATTTTGCATCCTCCTTGAGTATCTTCATCTTAGTTTGTCGGCCAAACTATTGTTTTGAAGTAGTTGATAACATAGCCCAGATGTGCTGGTGCTCTTACATTATTAACAAATGGAAGGGTAAAAATACATAATTTAATTTATTTTGTAATACAAACAAAATTATTGAAAACAGTATAGTTGTATATTTAAGAATATTAAAAGTAACCAAGATCACAGATATCTATGCGTAAAAGTAGATGTTTATAAATTTAGAAACAAATAAATTAAATATAAAGATCAACATAAGGTACTTAATAACTTATGCCTAAAAAGTTTTTTTTTTTTTTTTTTTTTTTTTTAATTATGATTACAAGGTGGTTGCCATCCACCAAATTCTCGTTCGATTTCTGCAGCTACTGCCAGTGTCAGCCTATCACAATATGGCGCAGCAACAACCTAAAACAAATAAAAATAAGAAATTTTGAGTGAAAAATGAGACAGAAAATGATCTATTGCCCATTTTGAAATTTGCTCTTGTATTGAATACGTGCCGACAAAAAAACGCAAAAAATCTCGCCTAGTCTTCCATGTGTGCGTATTGTATGTGAATCGACACGATAACTATAGGACGAAAGAAGCGTTCAACTTGCGGTTTCGATTTTATATGATAATTTCCCCAACAACAAGAACTACATTTATTTTCCGAATTTTCAGTTTCATTTTAGTGCTTTAAATATCAGTGTATTTAAATGTATGCATTTCTTATAAAACTTATTTTATGCACTGCGGCATAAGTACTCCCAGACAACAGAGCTGGGGAGGATTCGAATCACATAGGATTCGAATCCAGGATTCGAATCCTTTTTGAGGATCCGAGAGCGGGATTCGAATACTTTAGAAAAAAAGGATCCGTGATCCGGATTCGCAGAGAAAATCCTAAAGGATTCGTATTCGAATCATCAATATCAGTCTCGGACATAGAAATAGTATAGAAAGCCGATTCCATATATCAAAACTGAAACCCTAAGGAGAAAATAGTGTGTCGGAGCTCATGCGTATAACGGTGCTGGCGCGAACAGGACCGGTGCAAGTTTTTTATTGATCGAACAAATAGTTCAAACCATGTTTTATTCATACATTTTTAGAGATGCTTCTATATAAAAAACGATGAAAAAAATTCAAGTAGGATAAATATGTTTTTGAAAGAAAAATATGGCATGAAAAATGAATTGGTTAATTTACAGAAATCATTAGTGCTGCAGTCACGAGATCTTATTTGATTTAGTATCATTTGCTACAAGTAAATTTAATTTGAGTAGTGCAAAATAGGGGGCAGGTGCGTTTCGCCCAGGAATATTATGTTCGATATTTTTTTATATTTTGTCAGCCAAGACTGTGAGTCGTTACTTACAATTAGACAAAAAACCTTTCATGTTACCATTTTCAATATAAAGTATCCCAATATGTCTGCATCTCTCAAGATTCAAAATTAAAAAATACTACTACATTTACTTGGTACTTGGTACATATTTTATTTTAATTTTAAACCCTTTTAAAAGGGTCTTTCGTTTTCATAATAAAAGTTAGTCGCTGCTTATTAGAAACATTCTGTATAGTCTAAACCAATTTATGGATTGTTTTCGATCAATTTAATACAAAGATTTAAAGTTTTTAGTCGATGATAACATTCCACATCAGCACATTGCAAACCTATTTTATAGATAATAAGAATAAACTTGTAAATCATTAATTTGGTAGTTATCTCACTATAATGATTTTTTTGTTTATATGACTTTTTTGATTTCCAAATATATTTTGGCCTTACAATACGAAGCGTTTTGTATCTAATACTTTTTTTGTTGAACGATGAATGTTGACAGGCGTGTATCTTTTTCGGAACAAGAGGCGCTTTAACGGCGGAAATGATTTTCGAACTATCCAGTTAGTTTTCGGAAAACTAGAAAATGTTTGAAGAAAGTTGTCAATAACATTAGCATGTCGTTCATTTGTTTCATTTTGATCATTTTTCATTCTAAATTGCATAGAATACTCTTCTTCCAATTCAAAATCGAGATTGTCGATATTTCCACAGTTTATTTATAATACTTTCTACACTGGCTTTATCTATCATTTTATATTCTTCATAATATATATTATCACCCTACTTAACATACTTTAAAATGGGAGGATATTCTCAATTCGTTGAAATATTTTTTTATGTATGTTGAGCGATAATTCTTTACCACGTTGCCCGGTTTTTATGATTCTCTTTTTGTTAGAAAATGAATAATACTACATAAATTAAGTCAGGATCTGAAGATGGTATCCATGAGAAAATCATTAACATCTTCATTTTTAAAGTAGGTTTTTTAAAATTTCTTTAAACCGTACTGGTTCGCACGCGGTAAAGAATGAAGAAATGTAAATAATTGTTGTGCCGGCCAAAAAGCGAGGAAGTAACGATTAAAATATCGAGTGACAGAAGTTTCTAAGTTCGTTGAGATCGAGTTTATATTTTAAAATGCCTTGAAACCCGCATTTAAAAGTATACAATTTAATAGGGTTGATTTTCAGTTTCTACATTTGAAAATATACCCGATGCCAACTCGGCTAGTGATGCCATAAATGTTAGGTACAGGTACAAATTAATACGATTCGTTTTAAAATTCTTTATTTTAAATTATACCCGACTGAAACTGTCTCTGACGTCATGAGCGTTGTGTAAAGGTATATATTCCAAATAAGCAACATTTCATGTTCCATCGCTATCAGTAATAATAGAAGTGGCATCTCATTTAAAATAAAAAAGAAATAACAGAACTGTCAAAATATTTTAGATGGAAAGATCATAGCCTGTTTACTATTTTTAACAAAAAATCATTCATTATTTTGTCAGATACCGATAACGTCTCCCCGTCGCTGAACAGCCTGTATATAAATATACAGCTCTCTATTTACATAATTATAATTCTTAGGTAGGTTTGAATTTCTAGACATAAATCTTGTAATAAATATAACAGCTGCTAAATACATTGATTACATTTTCATTAGCCAATGTAAAAATGTCTTTTATTGTACCTAGGATTTAACTTAACACTACACGAAACTAAAAATAAAATGTCGTGTAATTAAATAATAAAATACAAATTGAAGCCAAAATATCACAAACGGTCCTGTAACGGCACCGTCATAGAGCCTTGAAACACCGGATTAAAGTGGTGTTGCCAGGTCAATATTGAATTTGTAGGTGAATCGCTTGTTGTACATTAATACCGTATTTGTATATATTTTTGGGAATGTAATTACACATAAATATTACTACTATTATAGTTGATTATTTAAATGTTTATAAATTATTTTGGGGCGATATTTCGTAGATATAAACTGATTAAATCATGTAATTTAAAAATAAATTAATTTAAAATTCTTTTGTGTTAGGTATGTTTAATATACTTGGCAACACTACAGGGACAAGTCATGCATACTGCGCAAGCTTCTAGACACACTATTTTGAGATGTCAGGCGCAGAGACGCGTTTTTATGCACAGTAGGTTTCAATTTCTGCTTGGATGTTATATTTATATTGGTCTTCTATATTATTTCTATGGTCTCGGATCCTTTTAGAGACCAAACTACGCCGGCGCGAACGGCCGACTCAAGCTTTGACTTGTCGCGAATTGTAAACTAAAAACTAAAACAGACTGAGACTGAATAGAAAACCGATGTGTTTGGCGTTGTGCACGATTACAGAATTAACAAATAATCTGACATAGATCCTCAATACAGGTAAGTGAAAAAAAATTCTGCATCCACATCCACATGTAGGTATATTATTTATTTTTGCACGATATACAAAATAAATATGTGGGCGATATTAGTCTATTGAACTAATATAATATATCATTATATCCATTCTATGCTTTCTATCAATTACAATTCATTACTTAATGTCAAGTTGACTATTTTTTTTTATTTAAAATGAGTTTTAGTTATTAATATAAAATATAATTAAAAATTAGTGATTCTTGTGAAAAATCGATAAATAACGGCAATCAACTAGAGTTTTTTATATTTACAAGGAAACTTAAGTAAAGTTTAAACAATTTTTATACTTATACGAGTATGTAGTCACTTAGGTAATCGCCTATATGCTAAATGTGACAGCCAGCTTCGTTTTTCAGCTTCAAGTTTTAAATGTTTTTATTTATTAATTAATTTATTTATTTATTTACGGGTCAAAACTCATTTTACAGAATTGTATAACAAAGTTCCTTAACAAATATAAGACAATTGGCAGCATTACACAATGAACTGGAGTGAGGTAGTAACCCAGACAACACACCAAATCCCAGAGATATCCTCAGAATATCTTTTGTGGATATCCAATATATCCACAGGATATCAGAAATATTCTATGGATCTAATATGGATATCCAAATGTCCGTCTATATCCAGAATATAGAAGATATCCTATGGATATTCAGCAAAATATCTAATGAGTTTCTCCAGACAATACAAGAAATCCCAGAGATATCCACAGAATATATTTTGAGGATATCCAACCAAATGTCCGTCTATATCCCAGGATATAGAATTCAGATATTAAGCAAAATATTTTATAGGTTATAGGTTGGTTATAGGTATCTTTAGTAGAGGTTCATAAGTAACCAATGATTATTGAATAACGTCGAAAGAAAATAGAGATAAAAAATATTTCCAACAATCTGCCTTTGATTTTGCCCACTAAGGGCACTAAGGAGAAAGTCATCCTTATTAGGACTCTTCAGCAATAAATGCAAATTCTCGACTCCAGTCTCTAATGGAGTCTGTTTGTGAAAAAAATGTCGATCGAACTCAATTACGGCGGGATGCTTAACCCGCCGTAATTGCGGGTTAAGCATGAGTAGATACGGAAGTGGTATCGCCATCTATACTTAGGAAGCAAAATCAAAAATTACATCTAGTGGATATCCACGATGGTTTGCGTCGCGCTTAGACTTTGATTATTTAGTGGATGTCCATGGGATATTGAATACACCTTAAAAACATTAATTTTAAATATCTGAACGGTACTATTAGCCACAACGGCGAGCACAATGGCGTAATTTTTTAATAATTTGCTATGTAATTACTATTATTTATGGACATTTTGCATGTCTATAAATTACATTTCATGGATATAAAATAGATATCCACCATGGACTGGACATTCAGTGGATATTGGGATGTTCAGTAGATATCCAAAGGATTTGGTGTGCTGTCTGGGAAGCCAATGTGCATATTGTATCAACAGAACAGGATGCGACTCTATGAGCGCAGCCATTTTTATTTCTCATCTCACTCGGGAGTATTTATAATAACCATTTTCTGTTTCACATTGTTATTGTTCAATCCCCAAGCTGGTGGATCAGACAATAACAAAGTGAAATAGAAAATGGTTGCTATAAATACTCCCGAGTGAGATGAAAAATAACCTGTCTTTGCCCATAGAGTCGCATCTCAAGCCTATTGACAAGCATTCTATCCCACTCCAGTTCATTGGCATTACAATGAGTATAATTAATACCACAGTATAACACTGACAGTGATTCGGATCCGTGATCCGAAAAAACGGATTCGAATCACTGGATTCGAATCCGTTTTTTTTTGAAAAAGGATTCGAACATTGGATCCGTAATTCGAATCACATCTCGTGATTCGGATTCGTGATTCGAATCCATTTTTCGAGGATTCGTCCCAGCTCTGCCAGACAACACACCAAATCCCAGAGATATCCACAGAATATCTTTTGTGGATATCCAATATATCCACAGGATATCAGAATTATCCCGTGGATCTAATATGGATATCCAAATGTCCGTCTATATCCAGAATATAGAAAATATCCTATGGATATCCAGCAAAATATCTAATGGGTATCTTCAAGACAATACAAGAAATCCCAGAGATATCCACAGAATATATTTTGTGGATATCCAATATATCCAGTGGATCCAATATGGATATCCAAAATCCAAATGTCCGTCTATATCCCAGGATATAGAAGATATTCGGATATTCAGCAAAATATTTTATGGGTATCTTTAGTAGAGGTTCATAAGTAACCAATGATTATTGAATAACGTCGAAAGAAAATAGCAGAGATAAAAAATATTTTCAACACTCTGCCTTTGATTTTGCCCACTAAGGAGAAAGTCATCCTTATTAGGACTCTTCAGCAATAAATGGAAATTCTCGACTCCAGTCTCTAATGGAGTCTGATTTGGATACCAATTTCGATCGAACTCAATTACGGCGGGTTGAGCATGAGTAGATATTCAACGAGCGAAAGTGGTATCGCCATCTATACTTAGTAAGCAAAATCAAAAATTACATCTAGTGGATATCCACCATGGTTGGCGTTCGCGCCTGGACTTTGATATATTTAGTGAATGTCCATGGGATATTGAATACACCTTAAAAAATTAAATTTAAATATCTGAACGGTACTATTAGCCATAATGGCGAGCACAGTGGCGTAATTTTTTTAATAATTTGCTATATAATTACTATAATTTATGGACATTTGCATGTCTATAAATTAGATCTCATGGTGTGTGCTGTCTGGGCTAATTTCCCTAAATAGCTAGTCATGTAAAACCACATACATTTTTTCAATATTGCCGTTATTCTTAAACATCAAATAAATTATTTAATTTTTTAAATGTTTTTTGAAGTAATTTATCTGAGTGGTAATTTATTGTAACTGAAAGTGATGAGTGAAAATAATTGTTTTGAGTTGAAACAAATGCGGATCTTACGCAAATAACGTACAGGATAGAACTATGAGTTTGATGTAAGGATAAAAAATTTAAAGGAGCCAAGTATTATTTTTAGAAAGACAGGCTTAAGCGAAGAAGGTCCAAATATTTTTACATCGACAGGCTTAACGGAAAAACGGTGAAATATTTCTACATGGACAGGCGTAAGTAATAGCAGGAATAAGAGATAAAGGGATCAAATATTTTTACATAAATAGGCGTAAAGTTTTACATGGGCATGATTAAGAGGTAAAGGATCAAAATATATTTACATGTGCAGGCTTAAGGGGTAGAAGACCCAAATATTTTTAAATGTGCATGCTTAAGAGGTAAATAGGGCAAATATTTTTACATCTAAAGGCTGATGAGGTAAAGGTGTCAAATATTTTTACATGAACAGGGGTAAAAGTGCAAACTATTTTGGCATTGAAGGACCATATATTTTTTTAGACAAACAGATTTAAGGGGTAAAGGACCCAAATATTTTTACATACATTGTTTTGTATTTAAACGATTTCCAAACACTAATCATGTAAAAGGCCATTGCTTCACAAACCTGAAAATTCAACGTTACCATACTTCTTATCATCTTTCGATCAAAATCAATTCGTTTCTTGTATGTTACGAGTTTGCCCATGGGGCATCAGTAGTGTTCCTCGAATTGTATTTCTTTATTTAACTGATTTTTTTATGAAAATAAAGTAATGAAGACCTCAAAAAAACACCATATAAAAAAACTTACTTGTATTCCTATAGGAAGTCCAGTTTTTCCAAATCTAATTGGGCAATTAGTAACAGGCAATCCTAATGAATTGAAGATCGACAAATACGAACAGTCGAATACTTTTCGGTAAATATCTCCATGATAATGCGCTTCAGCTGTAAATGATGGTATCACAAAAACCCCGTCTTTTCCCAGAAGCTTCACGAAATCTGATTTTAATTCTTCTAATTTTTGAATACAATATTCGGTCGTTGATCTAGGTAGGTGTGTTGACAGTTTTCGCAACACACCGTATAATATCGCTGTGAGTACAGATTTAGATCTGAAAGTCATGTATCTGAAGAGCTCAGTGATGGAACCTTCACCTCGGCCCTTAAAGAGGTTATCTACGTCGTCGATGTCTAGAAGAGAGAGGGTTGAAAGTTCAGGAGCATGTTTCATTAAGGGTAAATCAACCTGAAACAAAATAGTATGTGGAAAAGAAGTAAATTGATTTAGAAAAAAACTGGAATGTCATTTCTCCACTAAACATTACTTTTAACGTAGTTTATATTAAATAATAAAACTTTTTTTGGCTTCTTCTACTTAGAAAAAAATGCCTAACTCGTCATAATTATTATCCAAAATTGACAGGATATCACATTTGAATGCAATAATGCATACAAATTTTTCATAAACCTTATGGGTGTATCAAATATAAACGGGACTTATTTATTTTTAAATTTTCACGTGGTCTGTGACCTTCAATGAGTTGACGCGCAGTCAGTACTGTCCGAGAGGTAGGAGAACCGGCCGCAATTAGCTCGTGTCCCTTAGTATGGAAAGAAACCACGAGCGAGAAACAGGTGCATGTTTCCTTGGAGCAAAATATTATCAAGAAGTTTTTGGCCAACGAGTGGGCGAATCCAACTAAAAGTAAGCGACGATTACAGGCACAGTTCGGAGTTCTGAGATAACACCCTGTCAAGAACCCATGTGTTTTCTGATGGGTGTGAAAAGGTTACCCAAGGACGAGTGTGACCGAAGCCAACATTGAGGTAGTGTGAAATCTCATGGAGGGAAATCAGCGTCTAAATCTCTGGGAAATCGCTGAGAATCTGAAATCAGTTACGAGAGTGTGTTCCAGATCGTGACAGATATCTTGGAAATCAGCAAAGTGTCTGCTAGATGGGTTCCCTGTCTGTTATCGGATGATCATAAGCAACATCGATTGGAGATTTCGCAGCGACACTTCAATCGATTTCAGCAGGAGGGTGAAGACTTTCTGATTCGCATAATCACTTGTAATGAAACTTGGGTGCATCACTATACGCCGCAGTCGAAACAGGTGAGTATGGAATGGTGGAAGAGGAAGAAGCAATCGGTCAGAAGTGCTATTCTTTTTCATGTCAACGTCAGGCCTCATACAGCCAATACAGCAAGGGGAAACGCTGGAACATCCGTAATATAGTCCCGACTAATCTCTTTGTGACTTTTTGGATGCATCAAAGAAGCGCTTGGAGACCAACGTTTCGATGACAACGACGTGGTGGAAGCATTTGTGCATCAATGACTACAAGAAAGTATGAAGAGTTTCTACGATTATGGAATAAAAAAGCTTCCAATCCGATGGGAAAAGTATATTTGTAGGACGGGAGACTATGTAGGTGGCCATATCGCCTAAAGACGTAGTTTGAGCAATCGTCTGAGTGTGATACGTACAATCCACTCGAGTTGTACAATATATTTTTCTACGACTCACTAACTAAAATCTAAATATTTTAATAATTTTTTTTGGGCTATTAAGATAAAATAACTAATTTAAAAATAATTTATGATTTTACTAAATTATATAGTAAAATAAACTTGTGAAAAAAACATTAATTTAATAAGTCACCAATCCTAGAATGAACCTAAGGGCCACACATAATAACGTTTTAGTTTTAATGCTCGTAATTAAATTGCTTTCATATAATCTAATTAAAATGTATGGTTTTATTTGTAAATATAGACGAAATAAGTATAAATAATAGAGAGGCTATTATTTATCGATTCCAGGATTAACTCATTTTATTGTATTTTTAATCTCAATGAAAAATATACTGACAATTAGTTTGACAGAATTGTGATATATTTAAAATTTTAAAAATAATAGCAGTCGGGTGACCAAAATATGAACTGTGATTGGTGGATTTCATTTTTTTGAAGTGTTCTCTTACTAGGAAGAATGGATATGAAATATATTCGTTCAGTTGAACGCAATGGTAAACTTTTTGTTTCGTTTTGTAGTCTGTAAATAGTTAATATCCATGTGAGTGTAGAAAAAAATAATATATGTCTCTAAGCCTAAAGTTATACATTTGTAAAATACAAATCCCGTTTTTATTTGATACACCATACTATAATTATGAATTAGATAATGTGTATACAGAAGTTATAAAATTAAATTTAAAAAACCGACTCCTGCAGATGCCCTTAAAAATTGAGTATATAACAAAAATAAATAATTTTTTTACCTTCTCGGTACTGATGTGACAGATTTGGTCAAAATGCTCAATAACGGAATAGAGCGCTCCTAAGCATTCTTCGTTTACTTTTCCTGTAAGAGCCGATTGTATGTCTTCCATGTAAAACACTCTCAGTTCTTTAACATCTACCTAAGCAACAAAAAAAGTATAAAAAAATGCAATGTTTCATTAAAAAATAATGGTTTGCTCTTTCGTTTTGATATTCTTTATTTAGGCAACAGCGGATTCAAAAATGTGGATACTCTTTATTCTAATATGAATTGAATAAATGTAAAGATTAATCCAGAAATTTTATCCTGTCGATTCGAGTCTTTTAGATTTTTTTGTCAACAAAGTGTACTAGTTACCGCCTCTCTAAGTTTAGGCCTCTAAATCGCTATTACTAAATTTTTTATATATTTTCCAATTTAATTCACAAGTTTTACCCAGGTTAGATAGAATAAAAGAGGAGTGCAGTGAAAGTGGGGATATAACGTCACATTCCATAGGCGTACTTTGGAAAATACGTTTCTATAATATAAATAAGGTGACGTCATATAAAATGGTACCCATATACGTACTTCGTAGATTAAATTTTGAATGAAAAAAGTTATATTATTTACAAAAAATGAAAATAAAATTTATGCTTCTGACAAAATTGTTGCACTTTAACATTGAACGAATTAAATTTAACCAATAAATAATAAGGAGGATTATATGTTGTTAATGGGATTACACTTCAGAACCTAAAATCAAGTTTAAGAACTATCTTTAAACGTAAGTCTTCACTATAACTACTCGTATCATTATCATTGTCTTTTCTGAGGTTTATTATTATAGGGTTTATTAAGTTTTCCATTGCTATATCCACTTTCCCAAATAAATTTTCTCCCTTTTTAACGTGATCAATGCATTTTCTCCAATGTTCTCCATTTAGATCTAAAATTGCCTTCAAAAACAAATTTCGCACATCAGGTACTATACATGTTGAATTTGTTGAGGCTTTGTTTTCGAAAAAAAAAAAAAAAAAAAAAAAGAAAAAGAATGTACAGTTCTTCGAATGATTTGTTTTTGGTTATCGTCCAATTTCAACTATTTTCGACCACGGGTATGCGTTTTAGGGGCTTGCGTTTTAGGGGCTTCTAAGGAGCTTTTTTTGTCTTTTCGCGTACAATACGTTCAATTGTTGAAACAGATACTCCAGTTAAAAAAGAACTGCGGTTTACAGCTTCATTTGTTGGAAGTGTCTGTTTCAGCCCATCATACACTTTCCATATAATGTTCTTTTCATCCTTTGATAAGGGCTTTCGCCGACGTAATTGGGTTTCACTTGGACCCGCCTCTGAATCCATTACTATTGTAACAATATAATTCTACTATTAAATTGTTTTTAATACATTTATAAAGACACCAATATTTTACTATTTAATACACTTTTATAGTACCTACCTAATATACTACACAATAAATATAACTCCTCGAATATGAACTACCACTACCAAATTGTAAGGCACAAACATGAACACCTACTCGTATATCAGAAAAGACCACTTATACAAAAAAGTGTTTATAAAATATAACATAATTATCGTAAATAGTTAAAGCGATACAAATCTAACTTCGTCGAAAGTTAGTTTTCAACTGTCTTTGTGCCTGTGCTGACAATATTCAATCTGTAACCCGTCTGTCGTTTATTTACTTGAAACACATTTTAAAACCATTAAACACAGATAACGAAGTCATTAAGGAATAAATATATTCATTTCTTGAAAACTATCAAAAACGTATATTTAACGCATCATCTTTGTTTAAATAAAGACGTTGACAAACAAATTTAATAAAGTTTACTAACAAATACCTAATAAATAATAAATAATTATTTGGTATTTAATACGCCGCTTATGCTAACTCTGTCGAAATTTGCATTCATAGACAACAGTGTTGATCATGCATATGACTCACCTTCTCAAATATTTTGTCCGAGTATAGTTTGGATGTAAAAGAAAGAAACAGTATAGTTTGGCGTTCGTAGAAACAAATGAAGTGATTGGAAACGGTTGGAAAAATCCCTGACTATTCTCCGGATTTTAAATCCGGGGCATGCGCACATGAAATATGTTTAATAACCTACAATTTGACATTTGTTTTGCGTGAAATTTATGTGTTTATCATTCGTCCGTGCTTTTGTTGATTTGATGAGTTGTTTTTTATGAGTGTAATTAATACACATACATAAAATTTAATGAAGAATGCAACATTAAACCACAAAAACCTATCATCCATTATCCTGATAAAATAAAAGCCTGTAACTTCAACACATGAAGAAAGGATTCAAAACAGGTAATAAAAGCAAAATATATTGATAAAGTGGGACGTAATTCATAAACAAAACACATACGTGGTCATTCTGTGACTCATACAACGTCAAAATTCAAATAATTTCTTCTTGTTTATTGTCCGTTTACTAAATCTGTATCTAACATACGAGAATAGATAGAGACGAATCCACAACTGACAATAAATCTCAAACCGTTGGAAATCACGCATCATAAAAGAATCACTAACCATTTGAAACTGTCTCTACGAACAAACCTAATGCCTTATGTCCACTAGGTCGTTTACGCGTACTTTCAATTAAAATACATACGATACGGCTATGAATAATTAAAGTTTGACTTTTTTGTCAAAAGAAGAGGTTTATTAAGGTAAAAACCATGGAAACATGATTAAATCTAAACGAAAACTTTTATTAGACCGATCAGATGTATTAAAATTTTCATTTTAACTACTAATAAGCATTGAAGGATGAGGTATAAATAAAATGTTTACCTTTTGAACCTGTACTACGTTCTGCAAATTAAATTACTGCACTCTTTTCTTCTCCAATACTATAATATTAAAATCTAATCAAATCAAATATTTACGTTAATATATCAGTGTTAGTAGTATAAAAAAATATGTACATACTTCGGCTGAGAAGGTTATTATAGACCAAGCACATTATAGTCTTCGGCGCTACGCACCTCAGATATAAAGGTGATTGGTAAATAAATAGCTCACTTTTCAACCTAGGTATACTATTTTTATAACTTGCCAACTACTGTGTGTGGCCAAGATAGGACAATGTAAGAATGTCTAAGGCTTTCGCAGGATTCATGAAAATACTTAGGATAGTTCATTAGTTTTCAAACATGCAATTTCACAAACTACTTTTGAGATTCATCTTCTTTTTATAAATTAGTGTAACCATTGCAATTTTAGAAGATGGAGGAATATTATTCGATTTGAAATTATTATTCATTAAGAAGTGAAATAAGGGTTTTGCTAGAATAGCTGACGTTCGTAAAAAATTTCTCTTGAAATGCCATGAAAACATACCGATCTTATATATTTTAAAGAATTTATTGTCATCGGCATCAACTACTTCGGTTATTAGGCTCGTGTTCTATGTAGGTTTTGTTACTGTTTCCTAGCGCCACTTTAGGAACAGAAATGTTAATTAAAACCCAACAGTGAAGAGTCGAGTGGGGAATCCACTGTTATTAAGATTTCAGCTTTAGTTATGTAGAAATAAATAATTTTCTTTTATATTGTTCACATTTCCAAAGGATTAAACTACTGTTAAAAAGAAATTAGTAATCTCTTCTTTAATTCCATGCATATCTACTACTACATGTGCTTTTTATTTCTTATTTTGTTTCTGAAAAATTCCTAATATTTTTCTACAAATTTTTTGGTATATATATTTTTTTCTTGGATAATTTTTGCAAAAACCAACATGTAAAAAACGAATACGATTTTTAAGAGTATAGAAATTTTAATTAGAAGAGTTCAGTATGCCTATTCGCTCCGTGCGAAGTCATGGAAAGGGAAGCAAAAGCGATACTAGCGCTAGCTGCGGATAATTCGTGCATTTTAGGGGGATATTTTGTAATTTTGGCATATCAAATACACGTATACATTTTACTTTTTCTCAAAAAAGTAGGTAAAAACAACACAATAAGCAACCGGAGTTGCTGTATTGAAAATTGTACAAATACTAGCAAAAAAAAAAACAGTGAAACTTATATAACAAATTTCACTAACAAAGTGGAAATTAAATCAAAGAAATAAATGGATAGGTGTACAATAAGAAGAAAAATTACCTTTATTTTTGTGATAATAACAGTAATGCTGGAAATAGTAGACATCAGAAACTAGAAAGTTTTTAAATAAACAATAAATTATCATTTTACGATGTTCTTAAATGTTCATTCAGCAAGGACTAGATTTCAAGATTTCTGCCGTTGATTATAATATTTGGCTGGTATGCAATTTTGTGACTTACTGATCGGAAACCAGTTTTAATCATTCATTCTATGTTTTCTTTAGAACAAAAATGAAAATATAAGAAGCGATCCTTTTTATACATTTTAACTTCACACGCTATTATAAATGGTTTCTTCAATGACAACTTATTAGACTTAGGCAACTTCTCATACATTTTCCAGTAAATACTGTTGCCTGCCTATATTTTATTATTGATTTTTAATGATTATGCATAATTTTCTTCAATTTAAGCGTGAAAAATATATAATAATAATAAATTAATGTTTTAATTGTTTTATAAATCCATATACTTTTATTAAAACTAACATATATACTTTTTATTTACGAATTCTATTAAAAATTGTATTTGTCAGTATAGGCAGAAATACTCCTTTAATACCAAAACAAATTGGCGCTGCTGTCGCGCACGGAGCGAATACATACCGGCGATTGTAAGCAAATTTGACAATAACTTTTTGTTAACATATTCAATTCATATTAGAAAAATTATAGTATATTTTTTGGATTTAATGTGAACGCAATGTATTTATTTGAACTTTTTATACTTACAGGTTCGAATAATCTGAGTTCATTTCTAAAATTAGGCTCAGATATTATTTGAAGAAGCAGCCTTAGATCGCCTGCGTACCTAGCCATGGGACCAAGAGTGAAAGCTGCTTTCCATACGTCTTCGTGCTTACAACTAGGGTAGTGCCCCACACTGGATACAGTTCCGGGTGTTGGTTTGTGGCCCCAGACGCCACAAAAGTGTGCAGGAAGACGCAAAGATCCTGCCACGTCGGATCCTATTCCTATTAGAGAGCCTGCAGTCGCAAGGAGACTGGCCTGAAAAAGAGTAATAGCATTGTATATTTTAAACAAAACTTGGTAAAAACAACTATTTATTGATACAACAAAATTTAAGAAAAGAGTAAAACGTTTATTGCACTTTATATTTGTTTAATATATTTTAAAAGCAACGTCTACATACTGTAGCAACTCAGTTACTGCATTTCTCAAAGGTGACAAGTTAAAAAAGAGCATTCAATTCAAGGCAAATCGGCAATAGGGCTATGTTTCTATGATTGTAGCTTCCCGTATTCATCAACATCTTCAACTTTCTAGCTGCATGCTGCCAGCAAGATGACTGATAGGCCTCTTAGTTCATTATCTAGTCTATATAAATTTAATATAGTTGACAACGTCACTGAGAGGTGCCTCTCTTATGTTGACTTGTGTTTTTTTTTATTTTTTCTCCTGGGCTCGTCTGACTATGTCTCCGAATAACACTGAAGCCTATTGGCTTATTGTGTTTTACCCCATGTTAGTTCATAGCACCCACTCTGTCACCTTTGTGCCTCGTACAAGTTTGTACAGATCCTTGGGTGAGTGGGTTCTATACGTTGTTGGATAGACCTGGGGTTGTCCAAAAAGTGCCTGTCTTTTGCGATCTAGAGCTTCGCATTCGCATAGTATGTGTTTGGCCATTTCTGGTTTCTTATGACATAGTCGGCACATGAATTCCCCGTTGTACATGCCTATTTTGTTCAAGTGTCCCTTTACTGGGGCCTGCCCAGTCATGAACCCTGTTATCACTTTCAACTGGTTCCTATTCATAAAGAGTAGTTCTCTAGATCTTTTGGGATATGGTCTGAGGTCTGCCTATGAAGGCTTTTCCATGTGCCTGTTTTGGGGTGCTTCCCCAATAGTTAATATGTTGTTCCCGAATCCAGTCGTTTATGAAACCCCGGACTGTACTTTTTGATACTCCTGGGTTTGTGTCTGGTTCCTGTGTTTCTTCTGACCCTCTTTTTGCAAGTTCGTCAGCCTTTTCGTTATCTTCGATCCCTTGGTGACCTGGCACCCAAAATAGTTTTACTCTATTTCGGTCTGCCAGTGTTCTTAGTTCTTCGATGCATTCCCATACCAGCCTCGACGTAACTTTCTGACTCGTTATGGCCTTAAGTACCGCTTGACTTTTTGACATTGTTTGAATATGCTGATTTTTGACGGCTCTTTCATTGTTCGTTTTTGTACATTACAAAATTGCGTATACCTCGGCCTGAAATACCGAGGAATGTATTCCTATAGCATAGCTATGGTTAGTATCAGGGTTTTTGAAGAATACTCCCGCACCGGTGCCTTCCGCAGTCTTAGGCCCGTCTGTATACCAGGTTTGTTCCTGTCGTTGGGCATTGGGCTCCCTCATGGTGATCTCCGGTCTTTCCTGTATTAGAACCTCAAATGGAGTAATAAAAGAGTACTTCTTCGTTATGTGGTCTGATCTCATGTCTAGCACGTCTCCTGTCACTAACCTTGAGATACTCATGTGACTTGGCCTAATGTCAAGATTTTACAGTGTATTCCCTAATCTGTAAGCACCTAATCTTGCGTCCCCTTGTATCACATAGTGAAGAGGTGGGAGTCCTATTAGTGCTTCCATTGTAGCTGTGGGGGTTGTTTTCATTGCCCCCGTTATTCCGAGGCAGGCAAGTCTCTGTACCTTGCTTAGCCTCGTCATTGCTTTCCTTTGCTGTGTCTTTGGCCACCACACCAAAGCTGCGTATGTTATTATCGGTATCGCCACCATGGTATAAAGCCAATATACCATGTCTGGTTTTAACCCCCATTTTTTTTCCAAAGGATCGCGTTGGCATCATTAACGAAGTTTCCGCTCTCCTTGTGATTAGTCCTTCCGCCTATGCCCATTTTGTTACTATATTTAGAGTCTCTTACTATAGCGTTGTATTTTCCCCGTGCCATGATTACTAGATCATCGGCATATCCCAGGGTTCTATGTCTCTTGTCTTTGAGAGCCCTAAGCAGCCTGTCCACTATAAGGTTTCACAGGAGTGGAGACAGCACTCCACCCTGCGGACATCCAATCGCTACCCGTGCCGCTATTGTCTTAATACTTGCTGAACACAAATGAGAGAGTGTTTGGTTATCATAGAGGATAGGCTTATCTTCTTATCTTATTTTCACACCTACTGCAGGGTGCAGTCTGACAGCCTTTGCTGTGACCAGTGAGAATTCAAGTGATCAGGAGCTTATTATTTCTAGTCACAGTCAAGTATTTTTTTGCTGTAGTGTTGTCAGGATAACTTAAAAGCTCTCGAACAACTCTACACCTTTCCTTGAATTTCTAAATAATTTTTAGTTAGCTGTCTTTATGGCTAGTGAATCGGCAAGATGTGGCGAAACGACGTGATCCATATTTAGACAACCACAGGTTGATGCATAATTCTGTCAAGGCTTGCTGTTATTCTAGTTCTAACCCTCAGTCAATTCGTGGTCTGTTCAAAGTGGGTAGTGCTTGTCTGCTATCTGTATAACTGAGCATGTTCCTTCCAGTTTGAACTACTATGGTACTATTGCTTACAGCTCGTTTTATTTTTAATTTTAAGAATGTGGAGTATATTCCACACCCTGAGCCTTGTTTCGTTTAAGAACTGTCGGTGTAGATATGAATCGTACCTGCCACTTCCGGCCCTACTATATTTTTCAGTATAACGTTGTAAAACGTAGAAATATATGGATGGAGTCCATGTTCGTTTGGAACAGTGGAAGTATATCTAGCACCTTCCTTGATGTAAACATCAATGGCAGTGAGACTGCGAGTGACTTACATTCTGGCTGGTGTGGTTACTGTTATGATTACTGTTATGTTGAAGCATGGTGTTTTTTGTATTCGTTCCTTTGCGGATAGTTGTTAACTGTAGGGCTTTCAATACTCAGAAAATTGCGGCGTACGATATAATAGGTCTTATGATGACCGTGTAAATCCAAATGACAACTTTGAGGGAAAGATCTCAAGTGCACCGTTCTATTTTTATTGTTAAGTACAAGAACGGATTCAGGAAAGAAATAGAGTGGAATATATCAGATATTCAGGATTAGTTATATTTATTTTAAACAGGCATAAGATAAAACAAAAAGAAAACTAATTATGGCGATTTAAGAGTGTAAGATAATCTGTTTTATGGAAATGACAGACAGCTTAAAGGCAATACGAAAGATAACAGTATCTTTCGAGGCAAAGGAAGATTTAATAAAATCATAAATGTTTGATATACATCGTTATAATCAATGCAAAAAGAAGTATTTAAGTGAACAAGACTGGTTTAGAACAGAATACATACAATGTATGGGATTTGCTTATAATATTAAAATATTGCATTATATTCTTAGAAAAATAATCTCATACCTCACCTCCTGATGATCCCCCACAAGTCCTGGACGTATCATGTGGATTTTTTGTGGTACCCACCAATTTGTTCGTTGATTCCCAATTCAAGCAAAGTTCTGGAATATTTGAAGTCACTAAAGGTATCGCTCCGGCTTCCCTGGCATATCTGACAGTGACAGCATCTTGTTCTGCAACTACATTGGCCCTGGTTACCATGCCTGCGGTATTTTTCATTTTAGCTACCTCTATACTACCCTTTACTGAAATGGGAACACCTAAAAAAATTAAAAAATAAATTTCTGACTTTTAAGTAGATAAAGTTTTTACTGACCTAGTAAAGGTTGTTTTTCTTTAATGTCTTCTATATTAGTACTACTGTTCGCTAATAATTGATCTACTTTTTTGGCATCTTCTAAGGCTGCTTGGAATCTATCTTCTATAACAGCATTTATTAGGGGATTCACTTCTTGTATTCGTGTGATGTAAGCTTTTATAACATTTTCACATGAGACCTGGAAATAATAATTTAAGCATTGTGAGTCGTTCAAAGAAAAATAGTTATTAGCATTTTGGGTACCAAAATATCTACGGTGTTATTTTCCTGTTTAATTTTACATAATTTTTGAAATATCTCCTTATTTCGATATTATGTACAGTTCAAGCAATTGATATAATGCTACTACTTATGCTTCGGCGGCACCTTTTGTACTTTGACAGTCAAATGGCTTATTATTGGCATTTTGTGCGAAGACAAACAGTAGGGATTATGGTTTCAAATCCATCACGACTATTGATACGACAGGGCAGTATTTATCGCGTTTTTTACTGGGAGATGAAAGGTATTAATAAGACGGTCATTTAAAACTGACGTACTCAGACTTCTAAGCCGTTAAATATCTAAGACACAAATCTCCTTTCGCGAAGTATTTTGCTCAAAACTATTTTCTCCAAGTTCGCTCGCTAGGTAAATATCAAGTCAAAGCGCGAAATGATAAATCTTTATTTTTTTTTATAAAATCGAAATAGGTATAGTTGGCACGGAACTATTTTAAAAAATGCAAATAATATTATATCAAAATCAACAACAAATAATTAGGGGATTGATTCGAGAATATCTAGGTACTACATTGCAAAGACTGACTTTGTTATGGTAATAGAATTTTCTGAGTACCTACTTTCGTATGTTATTTCAAAACATACGATCTATAAAAGTTGGATAACATATTTATGGAAGCCAAATAGCAGTTTATGCAACAGGAGTGGTTAGGTAAGGGCCGATTCCACCGTTATGTTAAACGGAGATTAAAATGACATTGTTAATGTAAAAATGTCATTTTAAACTTCGTTTAACACAACGGTGGAATCGGTCCTAAGCTGACCAAATTGCACAGGAATGAAGCCCGACGCTACATAGGTGGAGTGCGATACGAGCAAACCACTCGAATTGTATAGTATATTTTTTCTACCAATCACTGAACAAAATGTACAACATTTTAAAGAGTAATTTAGACGTTATTAACATAAAATAACAATTTTAAATATATTAAACCAATGATTTGAATTTAGATTTTACTAAATTACAAAATACTTATATTTAATTTTATTGTAATAATATTCGTTCACATTTGTCTTGTCTTATATTCACATATTTTGCCTTATATTTACATTTGTCAATTATAAGTAAAAGAAAAAAATATTTATGTGCGAGTAGATAAGGGTTACATCTGTGTTCCACTGGAACCACTTTTCCAAAATTTTATTTAGTTTTTTGAAAGAAAAATGGAAAAGTCGTTAAAATAGTCGAAAGATTCCGATTTTTTCTATAAAAATTGAATCAGATTTTGGAAAAGTAGCTCTATAGCAACGTAGACTAAACTTTTTCCTATATGTATAATATTTTTTCTTTCAATAAAAATAAACATTACAAGTCAGTGGTGTACCTACTACCATCAGAAGTGGCTATGGTATTTTGTATTAGTTAGATAGAGACAATTATTGCTAAAGTAAATTAGCCACTTATACTGTGGGTTATAAAAGGAATCATAAAATTAATAAAACCCCTGTAATATAATTTCAGTATCGACAACCGTTCGATGGCTCGGTAGAAGACGACAAAATTATCAAAGACATGACTTGGACACCACGGGGCTTGCTGCCATCTATTGATACTGTCCATTGTCCTCCAAGATAATTTACATTGGCATTGTTCTACTAGTTGATCTAAATACAATGGTAAAACCAATCAATTTCGTAATGACAGAGTGACTCCATACTTTATACTGATCCTTGAAGATTGGAACGGTAGAAGGGTTCTATTTAAACCTGTGTAGAGAGTTATTGCAAGTTCACTTAAAGTCAGTCACTATTGCCGCTCTTCTTTTGACATCTGAGCATGCGCAGATCACTTACTTTGTAGAACTGACGACTTTAATAATGATTGTGCCTGTCCTTGATTGTGGATGTTTAAGGACACCATTTAGTGGCGACTTTATAGTTCTCGGGTTCCGTCGCCGGGGCCGACGAGAGGGGGGGGTAGCCGGGACAAATTCCCGGAGCCCGGGCTCAAGTGGGAGCCCGACAGCCGCATAAGCGAGATAGCACACGACGTCTAAAAGACGTCTTTTTTGTGTTTTGGTTTGGTCTCAATGTCCTAGGACGTTATTAAGACGTCTGACAAAAGTCATAATTCAGACGTATTAATGTGAGAGCTCAAAGACGTCTTTCCAAATCCATATATTAATGTGAAAGCTCAAAGACGTCTTTAAGGCCCGTATTTATAAACAAAACTCAGCTGAGTCGGACTTGGGTAAGTCGTCCTTAAACTAAAATCGAAGTTCGGTTATATCGCGTGAATTTAGAGATGGATAGTAACAAATCCGTAAATGTACAAATTTGCTAATATCCATCTCTAAATTCCAATCTAACACCAGCACCACCTAGAAATTTAGAAACGTTGCAACCGAACTTCGATTTTAGTTCAAGGACGACTTACCCAAGTCCGACTCAGGTAAGTTCTGTTTATAAATATGGGCCTAAGATGTCTAATAAACGTCTTTCAGTCGGACGGAAACTTAAATAATTCAAATTTAAAAGAAGAATCAAATGAAGTTTGACGTTTGACTTAACACTACATTCAAGCCGAAGCCAAAAATGTCTATGGCCCAAGCTTATTGTGGATTATTGATTATTTTATTGCGTACGCGGTTATAGCCACCAAAAGTGTGTTTGGGCTATTTTGTGCATTTGTATTTGTGTTTGTAGTATCTGTTACTGATGTAGCACGTTCCTGGAATACTTTCTACAGGTAATAAATGAATATTTGTTTATATAGAATATCCTGTTTCTTCTAAATAAGAATAATTAAATGAATTAAAAAGTATACATCTTAACATAAAATTTAATTCAGATATTCGTCAATTTTCTTTTTTTTGTTTTTATGGAGATTTCGAGAACTATTGATATCAAAAGCCCCATGTTAGATAGCCATTTTGAGTGAAGTTAAAGTAAAATTTTCAAAATAGGCGATTAAGCATAATAGCTCATCTTGTCTTAAATGATTTTTAGAAAAATTAATTGATTTAAAATTCTTAGAAATTAATTTTTTCTTTTGTTTCATAATTGTTCTTTCGGTTTTTACTAACTTTTGCAAAGTATAACTTCCTGTGACTATAATGTTCTTACCTAAATTTCTTTTTAGGAGTGACTATACAAAGGCAACTGCAAATCAAAAATAAAGAGAAAAATTAATCCAGTTATGGCTAAAGAGGAGTGATCGAATGCGTTACAAAGAAAATTACTCTTAGTAACCTGTGATTAATAGATATTTTATCAATAAATATTTGTAATTCTATTTTTTTACATTCTTTATAATCTGTAAGGTTATTCTACTAATTTTAATAACCAAGATGCACGATGATACCCATTTTTAAATTATTTTATATTATTATAGACAGGTTATATAATTAGCAGAATAAAAATATTGAACGTGTTAAAGACGTCTTATTTATGGCTTATTTAAGGCTTCACAGGACCATTATAAGCTATTAATAAGTCGTTTTAAAGACGTCTTATTTATGGCTTATTTAAGGCTTCACAAGACTATTAATAAGTCGTCTTAAAGACGTCTTATTTATTGCTTATTTTAAGTTCTATAGACCAATATAAGACATTAATAAGACGTCTTATAGACGTCCCCTTTTGTATCATCAGAAAATACCAGACGTCTTAAAGACGTCTCATATGTCTTATGCTAGACGTCTTAAAGACGACTTTGTGCTATCTGAGAAGGGGAGCCCGGCAGCCCGACGTCTTTTATTTTTTTTAGAAGTTGGCCACAAGAGCACAAGGGACTTTTTAGAAATTTCACTAAAGAGGAGAAGTTTTTGCTTGAAGATCTTGTTTTTTAGACATTTCACTAAAGAAGAGGAGAAGTTTTTGCTTGAAGACCTTTTTTTTAGAAATGTGATACTGAAGGGGCTTAATTTTTTTTATAAAATTGTCGCGGGGGCCGACCTCGAAAATTGTCCCGGGGGCCCGACCTGGCTCTAGGCGGCCCTGGCCGTCGCCAACATTCGTATCAGTTGGATGTTTTTTAATATTAAATATTTAATATTATCGTTATCTAAACCTTCTAAAATGGTAATTTCTAATGCCTCTTTCATATTATGTACTATTATAAACAACAAAAAAGATGAACTGTAATTGAAAATTTTTAAAATGATGTTAGAAATATGTATAAGTACAAGGACTCTTAATGTCAAAATTTCAGGTTTGCAATAAGTCTTATTTTAGCATGGAATTTATTTGCGTTGTCACTATTAATCGCTGACGTTATAGACATTTGCAAATAACTCTCTATATGTTATTCTCTGACAATACTACTTAACTAAACGAAAAAAAATCCTTTCGTTAATTGCTTAGATTAAAGAGACCGAAGATGTAATATTGCACACTGCGCATGTTGTCTATTTTAACCCCAAGTAAACCATCAATTGAAAATCATTGTTTGCACGACTGACCCGAATTGCTCGATTTTTCCATTCAACGCTCACCTCCGCCTGAGTTCAATCACCATTGACAGCTGTTTTTTGATTTATTTGTTGGTATTTTAGCAATTTAAAGTGTTCTAGTTACTCAATTTCAAGTTCAAAATGCAACGATGTATCTTGAAAAATTGTATATACTTATAATACAAGTACCAATGTTATGAAAGATAAAAAAGATATTCGTTTTTAGCGGTAAATATTTATTAACGTTTTGACATAAAGCGCCATGATCCTTTGGGCTGAATACTTCAAATCCGAATTAAGGGGTTTCAAGAAATATTAAGCATCAAATACATATTTAAAACCCTTTATCGGGCAAACATAGAAAGCCTAATAAGAAAAATATGTTATTTTACTCATACATTTTTAGTGCCCATCTAAAGCTAACAGAAGTAGTAGAATACTCAAGTTTTTGAAAAAAGTGAACTTTGATAATGTAACCATGTGGTAACAGTGCCCGATAGAGT